CGAGTTGTATAATAAGAATGTCAGCAAATAGGTACTGATGTTAGACCCTGTACTGACAACTAGCAGAGCATCAACACATGTTTTACTCGAACACTGAACATCAGCGTCACATTCACCACACACAAAGTCACCCTTTTCCTTATCAACAGCGTGGGCAACATCAGCGCTCACGCACGGAACGGGCGAAAACACAAACAAGCAGCGCGGACTGCGCAGGCAGGAGGGCAAGGCACCCCCGCCCGCAGCCCCGGGCTCTGCGGTGCCCGCCGGCACCCCGGCCGAGGCACCCGCGGGAGCGCAGGGAAGCACCCGCTGCCGGGGCAAGCTGGGGGGCACTGCCGAGAGGATCTGGCGGGGAGTCCAGCTCTGGAACAGCGAGGGGCCGAGCGAAGAGGGGCGGCCGGCCCAAGAAGGGACGTACAGAGGGGCCGCCGCAGGGCGGGGGAGCCGCCTCTCACCAGCAGAGCCAGGCCGAAGAGGCACCATCCCGTCAGCAGATCGGAGGCGGCCGCAGCCATCTTCGCTCCCGTCAGCAGCGGGGCGGCCGCCCCGGGGCGGTGCTTATGGAGGGGCGGGAATGGCGTCACCGCGGGACCGGCCTAACACCGGCCGTGACGTCAGTGGCTGCGGGCGTGACGTCACGTGCCCGCTCTCGCTGTGGTCCGCACAGCCGCTTCCGTCCCGGCCGGGCACGGCCCGCTGGGCAGGGGAGAAGTGAGGAGAGGCAGGAGCCCTCCTGCCCCGCTCCGTGGCAGAGCGCAGCTGTCGGGGGGGCAGGAAGGGGGGATCGGGGCGCATCGGAACGATGAGGTGCCTTCACCTCCTGCTCCCGCATGGGGTTTCCCTGTCCTTCCCTCCCGAGGCCGGGAGGCAAAGGCAGGGCAACGCTCGGTCCGCGGGGACTCTTGCCTGAGGGGCGGTGGGAAGGCAGAGAGGCGGTATGGGGAAAGATGAAAAGTGCGCTAAGAGGTTTCGGGCACTTTCAATCCCTTTGTTGTTGCTTCTCTCCGTAAAAGTACCTAAACCATCTCCGTACGACGCCTGCAGCCGCCCAGAGGCGCCGCGCAGTTGTGGGGACGGTGCCGCCGTGTCGGAGCCGCGGATGTGGGAGATTCCCACGGGAAAGTGGGCCGGCAGCCCCGCACCCCGGTGCCTTTGCCTCGGGCTCGACTTCACCACGGTGGGGCGGCATCGTGGTCTGGCGGGAAGCCCCAGCTCGGGACGGTGTTCCCGATTTGAGGGCGGCCGTGGGTGTGGGGTTAGGAGGTGCTCTGGGGAGCTCGCGTCCCTGAGAGTGGATTTGCTGGCTCGGGGAGTGGGAGAGGCTCGCCTGAAAGGTGCTGGCGCCTATCTTAGTTTCTTAGTATCATCGAGGTTGGAAGAGACCTTTAAGGTCATCAAGTCCAACCATCCATCCACTGTAACCCGTAAACCACTAAAGCACATCACCCAGCGCCAGATCCAGATGCCTCTTTAACACCTACAGGAATGCTGACTCTGACACCTCCCTGGGCAACATATTCCAATGCCTGACCACACTAATTGTGAAAAAAAATTTTCAACTATCCAATCTGAATCTCCCCAGTCTCAGCTTAGGGCCGTGAGATTGGGTGCAAAGGGGTCTGTCTGCAGGAGTGCCCGGGGGTAGCCTGGGGCCCTGTCCAGAGCACAAGCTACTGTTCCAGGGGTCTACAGGAGGCTCAGGGGTGAAAATGTGCACAAGCCTTGCTGGTTCCTCAGCTTCGGGAGAAGGGGCTCCCAGACCTGCCAGCATGCAGGGGTGGCCTGTTCTCTTCCTGAAGCAGTCGATACCTTTGCTGTTTCTATTTGTTGTGAGAGCAGAGGTACTCATGATCCAAGTTAGAGGAGGTTGAAATTCAGACTCTTTTTTGTGGCCTTGGGAGAAGAGACTGTTTGGGGCAGGGGGAGCTTGGCCCTGAAGGGTTGAGCTTCCAGGTGCTCTGAGGCCAGTGGGAGTGGTAGGAGCTTGTGGTATCAACAGTGCTCATGAGCTAAGTTTGAGGTCAGATGAGTGGCAAGACTTCTTGTGGGTTCACAGCCTTGAGAGAAGGCATCTGTTAGTGAAGGGGTTGTGAGAGCTTCACCCCAGACTGTTTTCTGCCTCTGCTGAGCCTTAATTTATTACAAGACCTATACATGAGACAGCAGTGTGTCATGGTGCTCATGAGCTATATCCAGGGCATCTGAGGTGTGTGCTCAGGTGAACTAGTTCTCTCTGGAAATCATATTTGGTGATGTGTGTGGTGGAATAGCTTTGCCAGACAGTGGCTGATATCTTTGCTGGGCTTCAGTTTTCTGTGAAAGTGTTGTGACAGCACTCACAAGCTGTGCCAGGGGTGGCTGGGAGCAGTAGGAGTTCAGATGAGTTTGCAGCTTTGCAAGAAGGGACCTCTGTTTGGGGGGACAGGAGCTTACCCTCAGATTGGAACCTTACCCTCAGAGCATGCTGTACTTCTCTGTGTGTTGTCAGGGTACTATAAAGGACAGTGGTGTGTGGCACCATTCATGAACTAAGTGATAATGGAGCTGAGGAGGGTTCTGGAGAGCTTGTAAACCTTGCATGTAGGTACCTGCAGGGGCTTTGTTGACTCGTGGAGGGAAATGTTGCTTGCAGGGGCAAATACATGTGCCATCTGTTAAGTTACTATAAGAACACCGGAGGTGAAAGCAAAATGTAGTGAATATTCACAAGATGCTTGAATGATTGGCCATGGGTGCAGTTTTTAGGTGAGCTTGTAGCATTTCAAGAAAGGCCCTGCTGGTGGAGAAGTGGTGTTGTTTGGGAGGCTCATTTGGGAGGGGCAGATGATTGTGCTGGGTTTCCATTTGATGTGAGAGCATGGGCAGCAGGCAGGTGATATTGCAGTGACTGTGGTGTTCATGAGCTGAGTTTGTGACAATCCAGGGGGGTTCATAGTCTGATGAGAAAAGCAGCAGATACTATATACCTATAATTAGTTTTCTGACAGTAAGCAGACTGCGTATGTCCTCTTAGTTTTTTTCATTGTTGTTGCTGTTGTATATTTTACTATTAATGTGTATGCATTATATTCACCATAGAAAATATTTCCCTGGATGTGATTACTATTAAATATGTATGTAATTCAAAATTGCCCTAGAACCCATGAAGAATTAAAAACCTTAAAGAACTGCATTAAAAATAAACTATTCCCAAGAGGGAAAGGAAGTAATTTGCCCTTAGAGTATATAAAGGTTTTATGTTTTGTACAGCACACCTTTATCAATAAAATATTAATATACCAAACATTAGGGACCTGTAACTGGGTAAGGATTAACCCTGCTGTTAAAATAATAAAAAAACCCCTGTAACTATAGCTACCAAAATTCTTTTTGGTTTCACTCAAAGGGTAGTATAAATATTTAACTTGTTATAGTAAATAAGCCTTAAGTCTAACTTCAGCACAATCAAAAAATCTTTTCTATTCTAAACAGTTGAGTTTATGTAGTTTAACAAACATGAAAAAAAATCCAATCAAAACCCCCAAATTGTATATTTTTCTCTAACAGAAAAATCCAATCTCTGAGTATTTTGTTAAAATCTTCCTGTATTTTTGCAGTAATTGCCATTTCTCTATCAGATCCATTCTTGTTTGGTAAATATGGTTGATAACCTAGTTTTAATTGGGTAACAGACAAGGTTTTCATCATTTCAGTAAAAAATATCATATCTTTGCATGTAAAATGACTACTGTAATTCATAGTTTAAAGGAAGAACTTGAGTTTTTGTTCGAATGGAAGTAATGGTTTTATGTACAGTGCAGGCAAAATAGAAGGTTTTTTTATGTTACCATTACACTATGTGAATATGGTTTTTTAGTGCCATGTTACCACTAGCTTTCTGAGTCTTTTTTCTTTATTCCCTAAAATTCAGAGTTTATAAATTCAAAGCATTTTCTCTCTTATTTTAGTAAAATCTTTATCTGAGGAATTATCTACAAGCAGACTTCAGAGAATCAATTTAATTTTTTTTAATTTACCATTTCGTAGGACACTGCACATGTTAAGTACACACAAAAATGTAAAATACAGTTTAATAGCAAAGCTAGTATTTTTTTAGATATTCAAATAGTGACCTTTGTCTATGCCTTGTGCCAACAAAAGTCCTATAAACATAAGTCTTAAAAATGGTATTCAATTCATGTGTTGAGTTTTGTGATGCAGAGAGAAATATCATTCCTTGTTTACAATTCTGGGGAACCTAAGACTAACATTTTTCATGACTGTATTCACAGCTCTGTCTGTAAGAGGGGTCTCATGGGTAAATTTGAGGTCACATTTCTGTGTATTCACAATGTCTATTGACAGCGTATCTTGAGGACATGTTGGTGTCATGGTTTAGGAATGGTATTCTCTAATTTAGTTCTCCCAGTAAAACATGCCACTCCTCCTGCCCCCTCCAAAAAGGAGGCCCACAAAACCCTCAAATCCAAAGATCTCAGTTGGAGATTAGAAAAATTTACTGGAAACCACAATGAGATAAGAAAATGAACAGTAACAGCAATATTAATAACAAAAGTGTACAAAAGAGAGAGTAATTCACATGCCAGAATGCTCACCATGGAGCTCACAACCCAACTGCTGTCCCACTACCCTGACACGAGAGAGCCCTTCCATCCTTCTGTCCAGAAAGACTCCCTTCCCCCACCCTCAGCAATGATGTGAGGTGGTACAGAATAACCTTTGGGTCCTGGCCATGCCCCCTCCTGGCTACTGCCAGAAATCAAGCCTATCCTGGCCAGAACAGGACAGCTGGTTAGATGTTTCTTCACATACCAGGGCTATGTTTGTGTTTCTCAATCACTGTAGACAGCTTCCAGGATGGCTGCTGTTTGTAGTGCCCCAAGCCTACCTGTGCTTTACTCAAGTGTAGCGTTATCGGGTGAAGATGAGCAACCACAGAACAAAACTATGTCAGGCACGTGGGTCATTAAGATTAATCAATGAGAGATCATAGGTCAAAAAATAAGAGATGAGGCAACTGGTCACCAGCACAGAAGAAACATTTCCACTCTGCAGAAATAGGACAGGAAGCGAGAGGAACAAATGTACTTTTTTTTGCAGAGCGTTATTGCTTGAGAGAAGGTAGAAGGCTGTGGTATGAGCCAACCAGTGAAGTGCTATCATTAGTACCAAAGTTGTTGATCACCTCCAAGCTGAAAGATAGTGTGGTGCCACATTGAGCGCTTGTGATCCTCATGATCAGTAGTTCTAGTCTTGGCTGCAGTGGTGTACAACAGTGCTATGTTTCGAACAGCCAAGTTAAGCTAGCATGGCTTACAGGATGAGGTCAGTAGTTGTCCCTGTGGTGCTGGTCTCTCCAACACTCCAGTAACAAATGTGCCTCTTTTTCTGCCTAGACACAGAGATTTGTCTTGTCGTCTTTCATGCTTCTTTGCTCTTGCCAGTAAAAGCTTGTCATCGAGATGTCAAAACGTGCAGCAAGATCAGTGAATGCACTTAAGAGTGGTAGCGGATAGAAGTACTTGTGTAGGGCATCGTGTATGGGGTCACGGGTGAGAAGAGCACAAAAGTTGATATGATTCC